CGCTCGCAGCGGGCGCCGGCGGCGCGCGGTGATGCGGCAGAGGTGGCTCCAGCGCGGCTCGTTGCACGGCGCTCCCGGGGCCATCCGTGCGGCTGCCCCGCGCCGGGCTTCGCTTCCCTCCTCCCTCGCGGCAGCCGCCGATCCGGGTCCTCGCAGCAAAGCATTAACTCCTTTCCTTTCTGTCGGTCCCGCCTGCGCTTGGCAGCATCCCTGCCCGGCGTTACAAGCAGCGGCTCCAGCGGCCCGTTCCCACGGCGGGCGCTGTGGATGCGGCTGTCCCGGCGAGCAGAACCGCCTCCTGCACACGCGAGTCCGGCCTTTCAGCACCGGGAAAGGAGCTGCGCGTTGCCAAGTGACAGCAGCTCCGCACCCGGAGCCCTGTTGTCCCGGACAGCCAGGCCCTGGAGATGATATTCAGCCTAGGGAACAGATAGTTATGTGTTATCAGCCCCATCTTTCAGTAAAGAACCTGCGTACTGTGTAATAGGCACYTAAAATTGTAGTGGGAAGTTCCTGATCTTTGAAGCCTTAGAGAGCCCTTGACGACTCTTGGCTTAATTGGAAGCAGAATTTTTTCTATGGTAGGTCCTGGAACAGAGCCACGTGTGTTCTTAGCAGAGGATTATTGCAAACTAATACCTGATAAAAGCATAGGAGTCTGAGCCTTCTGGAGCAGTGTACCTGTCAAACACCAGTCTCGTTGCTATCTAGTGCTCTTACCTTGGCTCAGGTCACTGGGAAATAAAATGATCTATAAAGTGCACTGAGCGTTAGCCAGSGTATCTTGAATCTGCCCCTGGTGTGATAGAGGCTGCTCTTTGGTTGCTATAGAAGATGGGGAGCACCAAGTCCAACCTCAAGCTTTCGCTTTTTTCCTGGGCATAAACAGCCCAGAATAAATAGTCAAGTCCTGTGAGGCCGACATAAGCAGAGCTTACAGCTTAACTACAAAGTCCCTTGTCCTCTGAAGTCATCCGTGTCTGCATGTCCTTTAGTATTGCCAAAGGAAGCAAAGTATCTCCATGATTCCCCCCCATTCTCTCTCAGCTCTTCTGGGTATGTGGCAGAGCAATACCAAAGCTAAATATATCTCATGCAGAGAGGATTTCATCCAGGGTTTTTTTTTACAGGCACAAATGCATTAGTATAGCTGTCTGGTTTAGGAATTAACTGCTGGCWTTCCTATTCCCCTTGGAGTGTTTGCACTGTATAGGTTTTATAAAGACGGATTGTTGAGGGCTAACTTGTCCCACTCTGTTTCAGTGTTTCTGCTCTAGGGAATTGATGATCTAAAGCTATTTTTTACAGTGCAGACTTGAGTTGTGGTCCTGGCTTTGCAGCTTGTGTCCTGATGGGAGTCCCGGTGACTGGTGCAGCTCTGCATGCCCTGCAAAATGCATGGAATTCTGTGAGCCACAGGGCTGGAAACACTTCTGTGCAGAGCTGGTGGGGATGGCAACCTGTGTGTACACGACATGAGGGAGAATGAGGGGTGGAAACCCAGCGCAGGGTAACGAGGTGATCACAGAACCACAGCGTGGTTGAGGTTGGAAGGGACCTCTAGAGATCCCAAAACAATTTAAACATAATTAAAACAAGCAAAATCAAACAGCAACCTTTGGAGTGGGCCTACACACTTAGTTTCCTTTCTGAGACCAAGCAATGGGATCCAGGAAGCTGCAGGGCCCGGGAGCTCTACACCAGTCCTCTGCAGTGCCAGGAAACACTGCAAACAGGGAGGTTTTCCAGTAGGAAACTCGGAGGGGACTTGCCAGCTAAGTTAGGGGCAGGATTAAGGAGATAAGCTTAAGTGATTGGTTTATTTTTATCTGCCCTCGAGTACTTCCTGAGGGCCGGGCTCATGCCGCCGCCAGTGGCACTGGCAGCGTTAGTACTGTGTGCAGGTGTAATTTAGGGATTTATCTAGGTCAGAAACTGATTGAAAATGTAGAGTGTTTATTTTTTTTTCCATCCTAAACTTCCAAAATTGGAATATTGCATTTCCTCTCTCCTCTGGGCTTTCTGCCTCCTGATTGCCACCATGCAATAGAAGGAGGYGCAGCTGTGATTTCCTACTCTTGATTTGCTTTCCTCATTTTCTTGTGCGGATGAGCATTTTTGGTTCTTTCCCTGTCCAGGCAACCTCCCTTTCAATGCAACCATTATATATTTCTCGCTTCTTTTTCATCATTAGAGCTACGCCGTCCTCGCAGCAGCGTAGCCCTGTCCTTGCTGCACCTTCCTGCAGGTCCCGATCRGACCACGTTGCCATTCCCTTGCTTAGTGCTCCTTATAAATGGTTCGACAACAAATCCCGCTGGGTGCGCRTTGACTGAGGGCAGTGATGTCTAATCCAGACTTCCTTTTCCAGGTATTACCCTTGCCTGCTGCCGGTTGTTTCAGAGAGCTGTGAGAATGCTGTGCTACACAGGTACCCTCTGTGCTTGTCAGCCAGCCCGTGCCATGTGTTGGAAGCCTTAGGTTTAGCTCCCCCATAGTGTCCTTGTGTCGGAGGACAGGTAATCGCTGCAGGCTCCTGCTGACCCATCCCTGAGAAGTCCTTCCTTCCGCTAATGCCCGTCCCTGCTTAGTGTAGAGAACAGCCAGAAGTTCAGCTATTTCCCACCCTGAATGTGACATTTCTCTCCAATGTGTGGGTCGGCCCTGCTGGCTTGGGCCTGGAATTCCTGCTCTTGCATCTGGCGGTGATGATGTCCCAGAGGAACAAGCTGGTATTGTCTAGGCCTGGTGCAGATGCTGAGTTCTGGAACGGGGGCAGGCTGCTGGAGGCAGTGAAATGCTGTGGATCCCAATACTTGAGAACACCGATTGAAGCAGCATGAAATCAGCAGCGTCATAAGGCAATAGGAAATAGGTTCTTGCCTGCAGGAACCAACCTGTTCCGAGTGATATCTTCCCCATCTTGTACATTCAGCAAGTTAGTTTTGTGATCTCTGCCTGAGAAGAGCCACGTTTCAGTTGCGGAGAACGTTAGAGGAGCTTGGGGCAAACAGGACAGAAGCTCCTAGGGAAATGAATGGGGGATACACAGCCGAGACAGCTTCCACAATCTTCTGGAAAACCTCTATGGCAAAGCACATACCTTAGAACTAGGAAGGCCAGCGCTGATCCTGCCAAGCGGCATCTCTCTTAGGGGGACCGATTCCCTTAGGAGAAGGGAATGAGAAGYTGAGAAGCTGCCCTCTCTCTTACAGGTTTAACTGGAGCGAGCTGGTACCTTTGCGCTTATGGGGCAGGACGCTCGGCTTGCAGACGGAAAGCTCGCACTTCCTCCTAGAAGGAATGCCCTTCCGCATCTTTGGCGGCTCC